AAAAAAAAAAAAAAAAGTAATAATAATAAAAATAAAAAATAAATAAAAAAATAAAGACCCTGCCTTTAGGTCCAGCCCTTGCCTACCTCTCCAACCTCATTGTATGCCACACTTTCTTTTTCCCTTTATGTTAGACACACAGTTCTTAGTGTTCCTCAAGTACTATGCTTTCTTATCTTAGGAACTTCCATTTTACAGATTTTCCTTCTCTAGAACAGGAGTCAGTAAAATTTTTTAGGAGACAGCAAGATAGTTTGCCAATTCCTGATCTAAAAGGCTAATCATCTAACCCCACTGCTTACCGATTGAAATGTCATGTTCCATTGAAGCTTTTCTTAATCAACGTTAAGTGCCCTGCTGGGGACAGTGGCTCACACCTGTAATCCCAGAGATTTGGAAGGCTGAGGTGGGAGAATGGTTTGAGGTGAGGAGTTCAAGACCAGACTGGACAACATAGCAAGACCTAGTATCTACAAAAAGTTTTAAAAATTAGGCCAGGCATGGTGGTTCATGCCTGTAATCCCAGAGGAGGCCGAGGTAAGGGTATCACCTGACGTCAGGAGTTCGAGATGAGCCTGGCCAACATAGTGAAACCCTGTCTCTACTAAAAAATACAAAAACTAGTTGGGCGTGGTGGCGGGCGCCTGTAATCCCAGCTACTCTGGAGGCTGAGGCAGGAGACTCGCTTGAACCTCAGAGGCGGAGGTAGCAGTGAGCTGAGATCACGCCACTGCACTCCAGCCTGGATGACACAGTGAGACTCTGTTTCAAAAACAAAAACAAAAAAAGGGCCAGGCGCAGTGGCTCATGCCTGTAATCCCAGCACTGTGGGAGGCTAAGACAGGTGGATCATAAGGTCAAGAGATCGAGACCATCCTGGCCAACATGGTGAAACCCTGTCTCTACTAAAAATACAAAAATTAGCTGGGCGTGGTGGCACATGCCTGTAGTCCCAGCTACTTGAGAGGCTAAGGCAGGAGAATCGCTTGAACCCAGGAGATGGAGGTTGCAGTGAGCTGAAAGATTGCGCCACTACACTCCAACCTGGGTGACAGAGTAAGATTCTGTCTCAAAAAAAAAAAAAAAAAAAAATTAGCAGGGCATGGTGGTATGTACCTGTAGCCCTACCTACTTGGGAGGTTGAGGAGGGAGGATCACTTGAGCCCAGGAGTTCAAGGTTACACTTCAGCCTGCGCAACAGAGTGAGATATTCTCTTACAAATAATTTTTTAAAAAACAAGTCCCATTATTAAATGTACTTGTACCAACAAATGTATTTCTCCTTCATAGAACTGGTCATGATTATACAGTTGGCCCTTGAGCAACATGGGGGTTAGAAGCGTCAACCCCCTGTACAGTCAAAAATCCATGCATAACTTTTGACTCCTCTCAAATTGAACTACCAATAGCCTACTGTTGACCAGAAGCTTTATTGATAACATAAACGGTTGATAACACATATTTGTATATGTATTATATACTATATTCTTACAATAAAGTAAGCTAGAGAAAATATTAAGAAAATCATGAGAAAATACCTTTACAGTACTGTACTGTTATATATTGATGCGATAAGTTTATACTGTCTGTTTACAAGATGAATCATCTGAAATGACGGCAGCTGCAGCTGCAAACTTCAATCTAAGCTACACATCAAGCACTGCAACTTTTGCTTGTAATGTCATGACTTTTCTCTGCTTCTTGAAAGTGCTTCCAACATCAGTAGCCGCATTTCGTATGGGTCCCACAGTGTTATTCAAGGTTTATGGTATTGCAGTAAACATGAAGAAAAATGCACAAGAACTGCAATAGATCACTTGTTATTGCAATAAGCAATTTAGTGGAGAGAGAAACTGTTCACATGCAGATGATTTAGTACACACAGGGTTTTTAGTGGATACTACAATACTTGAGCTCCTCGCAATAGCAACAGGAGGTGGTTACAAAATTATCACAGTAGTACAGTGTGTACTACAGTTAATTTCATGCAGTTATGATTTAATACTGCATCTTTACATTTTACATTTCTCTCAATTGCAAATGGTACCATGTGTGATCTGTGTTTGTGTGTGTAAGTTTTGATAAATTTTAACTTTTTATAATAGAGTTGCATATATTTTATGGTAGTAAATGATAAAGACCAGTATCTACAGATATTTTATGTTTTCATGACATACCTAAATTTAAAACTTCTTTTCATTATTTCTAGGCTATATGGTTTATCTGCAGGTTTTTTCAAATTGTTGCAAATCTCCAAAAATTTTTCCAATAAATTTATTGAAAAGAATCTGTGTGTAAGTGGGCCCAGACAGTTCACATCTGTGTTGTTTAAGGGTCAACTATAATTAATTGGACAGTTGTGAAATTCTTTTGCTAACCTCCATCTTCCCTATAAGGATGTAAGCTCCATTAGACTGGGAACTATATCTACTTTGCTATTTTATTCCAGCATGTGGTAGAAAATGTGACACATAGTAGCAATCACTCACTCCATCAATCAATCAATGTTGAATGAATGAATCATAATTTGCTACCTGACCTTCATTCGGCACGTTTGTCTTTCTTAGGCTTAGTTCTCCATCTGGAAATGGAGATGATAAATACAGCTACTTTCAAGGCTGCTTCAAGGTATATAAGGTAACAAGTGTGAGAGCATTCTGAGAACTCTAAAGCAATACACAAATGTAAGAAAATAAATGGAAAGCTGCCCCAGGTGCACAGGACTGGGGCAAAGGCTGGCCCAATGGCCAAATCCGCTGGCTCATTTGGTTGGTCCTCTAGCTAATAATGGTCTTTACTTTTTCAAAGGGTTGTAAAAAACACAAAACAAGGAAGACTATGCCACAGAGACCATGTGTGGCCTGCAAAGTCCAAAATATTTACTCTCTGGCCCTTTACAGAAAACGTTTGCAGACCCCTGGCCTACAGAAGTGCCTGGGCTTAAGTAAATATTTTAATAGTGAATGAATAATTATTACTTTGCAAATATATGCATATTTTGGTATTTTGATGACTGACAAGCAGTGCCATTATCTGACTGCCTGTCTTCCATTCAATAAAGCAAGTAATCAACATAAAAATACCTCCCCCCTCCCCAGGCTAATATGTTACTTTACATTTAAAAAATACAAGGAGTCTATAAATATTTTCATTTCCTTCAATTATATCAAGAACCGTTTTTGAAACAGAGAAGGCAGGGACGACTGGGAACTGGTGTGGGGATACAGAGCTGGAGGCCACGTGAACTGTGTCCCCTGGAAGGGTGACTGCTATCATTGGGCATGCGGTTGTCACGTGGAAGTCCAAGTCCACAGAAACCTATTTACTGTCTGCTGTGAAATACTGAGATTATTTTCTCCCCAGGGAATCCATTATCACACAGAAATGAGAAATGGCACATGGATAAAAAATAATAAGAGGCTGTGCTTATTGCCAAAAAAAAAAAAAATCCCCAATACTGCACAAAAAGGAAAGGATTTGGAGTCAAAAGACCAAGATTCAAGTCTGAACTCTACCACTTATTCCATCTGTCACTTTGAGCAAACCTATTAGCCTCTCTGAGCTGAATTTCTTCATCAAGAAAAAGAGAATAATCATTGATGACATTTAGTGGGTGGCCTGTATGAGCCATGTGCTTTACTATATTATATTCGATCTTTCTATCAAAATGCAAAGTAGATATGATTAGTGCCAATATATAGGTGAAGAAACAGTCACTCAGAGAACTTAAGTGACTTGCTCAAAGTAACGCCACTAGAAAGAAGCAAAGGTTTTGTTTGTAGCCAAGTTCTGACTCTAGCAATGCTATTAGTGCAACCTCTGATAAGATGTTTAACCTCTTTAGACCTACTATGTGCTTAACCTTACAAAAAGCATATAAAACCTAATTTCTAGGAAAGATGATTTGAAATTCCTCCATATTGCAATATTACCAACTTACGTCTTAAAGGAAAATAGCTTTCCTCCATTCTTTCATGTTAAATCTAATTCTATGTCTTCGGAGACCGACAAAAAGAGGATGTACTCTCCTCTTTCTATATAATAAGAACAATGTAAATTAAGGAAGCATAAATACATAAAATAAAAGTATTACATTTTGAGCATGTCCGGAGTGGCATAATGATGATGAATTCTACTTATTCTGCCACAATTCCCCTTCTGCGTGTAAACCAAACACATTCAATACGTGACACGTGAGTTGATCATGAAACCTTGATTACCTTTGCTTCATTATCTCATGTACTCTCCCATGCTGGACACACTGTTCCTCCAATTCTTCATTTCTTCTCTGTAACTTTCCCAATTTATCATATGTATACCTTTTTTCTTGACTGAGTTGAGCTATTTCAGATCTAGAGAGGTGAAAACACAAAAATAATAGATGTTAAAGGTTCTTATTACTAGGGCATATTGTTATTAAATAACCTTAACATTATCTTAAACTCCATACTTAAACATAATAGTATAATGAAAACTATATCCTTTGCAAAAGAAAATATTTCAGAAATGGCAAGATACATTGCAGAGACTCACGTGTTAGACAGAAAAAGGAATAACAACTTATTCTAATAGGAATGGCTTCCCTAAGGAACAAGACAAAAATGATAATGATCAAATCTCTTTTTAAAAAGACTATCCTTCTTTTAACAAATACTTACTGAGTGCTTGTTATAGGCCAAACACTATGCTGTCGAAGAAGAAACCCTAGGCCTAATTTCTATCACAGAGTCTCTTTTCATTAACATAACCAGCCGAATGGCACACGGTTAAAATAAAAATAGTTCTTTAATGGTTAATTTTATGTGTCAACTTAGTTGGGCCATGGTGCCCAGACATTTGACCAGACATTATTCTGGACATTTCTGTGAGAGTGTTTCTTAGATGATATTAACATTTAAATTAGTAGACTTTGAGAAAAGCGGATTGCCCTCCACCTCGGCGGGCTTCCTCCAATCCACTGAAGGTCTTAATAGAAAAAAGATTGACCTCCCCTGAGCAAAATGGCAATATCCTGTTGTTCGTGTCTTAAATGACAATCCAAGTCTCAAAATTTGGAGATCAGAAAGATGTTTATCCAAGAAAAATTATATTCCTTTCCTTGTATTAAGTAAACTCTAAATTTCTGCCTACTGCCACCATCTCCTCACGCCCTAATGCCTAATCAGTTAGAACGGAGAGTTTAAAACTCTTGTATATTATGAGTCCTTTTCAGGTTAATAATTGGTTTGTTTCCTGAAGACTCCTGACATAAAATTAATTCCCTTCAAAGAAAGGATTCTTCCAGTAGGCAAGATAGCCTTTTCTTCCTGGTCAGGAAAGGATTTGGATTTGCTAAGGGAAATTTTACTTTACAAATTGTTAATCCCAAGGACCAGGCTGCTCACATGTATGGGGCAAAAACTCTTGCTTTTAGTTCACCTCATTCTTCATTTTGTTTTCATCTTGGTTCAAATGTCATCCCACGGGAAGCTTGCCCTGATTAATACCTTGCAGTTCTCAATATGTCAGCACGTTTTTTGAAGCTACCTCTAGCCTTTATGCATACATTAGCTTATAATTTATTCTTTTAAATTGTGCTCTGTGCCTTGTCTTTCCTACCAGATTCTGTATGAGAGCATGGATTATCTCATTTTCAAGTTCAGATCAAGTGTTCAATCTACATTTGCTTCTCCTAATAAGAATCTACCCATATTTGAAATAGTCCAAAAGCAGTTAATAATGACTTATGTTTCTCCTTTCAGAATCACATACAATACAAAAGAATTTAGAGGCAGTTATAATAAATTTTTGATCTGGTATCCCTTCCAAGATTAGTATCTCCTATCATACCATGCACTAAAATAAATTCCAAAAGAAGAAAAATCCTTAAACCAGATTAGAAAAAAATGCAGAACATTGATCTTTTCTCAGGCACTTTCCAAGCAAAAGGCACTTTTAAAAAGAAAAATCACAAAGAAAAAAATAGATTTTACAATACAAAAATACAAAACTTTTACACATAAAAAAATCATATATTTAAAATATATCCTAGGTTTGTGTGAGAGTATTCATTGTAGCACTGCTTCTAGAAACAACCTTTCTTTGCAACCCATAATCTGGAAACTTAACCAAGAAATCTATCCACAGGAGCCTGGTTATGTTACTTATTAATCTGATAATGCGGCTATTTATAAGTGATATTTATTGATCTAAAACTGTGACATATTTGTAAAAAAGAGAAAACATTAAAAGTCAGCATGTATGATGTGATTTCATTTTATAATTTAGAAAAATATTTTGACATGTATACCAACTATTAAAACTGATTATTTCTGGATGGTAGGATCAGGAATGTTTTCTCTGTTCTTTATTCATCTTTCTAAATTTGTAAAATAGATATGTATTTTATTTTTTAAAAATAAATTCATTCTGATTTTGAAACAAAATCATAATAAAACAAAATGTAGATGTCACTGGTGGGGGAGGTTGTGTGTGGAAGGAACAGGGAATATATGGGAATTCTGTACTTTCTGTCCAGTTTTGCTATGAACCTAAAACTGCTCTAAAAAATAAAGCTTATTAATTAAAATCAATGTATACAACAGGAAATTATTTACAAAAATAAGACAAACATTAAAAGCATCATTTAATGAAACACTAACTGCACTCTCCATCAAAATTCCAATTGAAAGTATAAGAAATATTTAAAATATCTACAGAAGAAACATAAATGATCAATAATATTTATAACATATTCAATTTCACTATTATTCAAAATATAGCACAACAAAACCAGATACTACCACCAAATATTTACTGCATGCCACTGTATAACAAATAGTGAAATCCATCCTTTACATTCATGATCTCAATTAATCCTATAAGGTACTTGTAAGGGTTTATTTTCTTTCCTCTGTGAGGTTAAATATATGAAGTTTAATGACTTGCCTAAGGTCATCCAAGTAGGCAAGCCCAGATACAAATACTACTTAGTCCACCTCTAAACGGGTCGTTCCACCCACTGTGCAATATTGCTTCTCATCCTTTTTAAAAAAATCTCACTTCTTTGTAATGTTATTTACTAATATGGCTACATATACAGTGATTAGAAGTTAGTGTAGTACTTAGGCAAGGTAAAACACATTAATATCCTTAAAAGCATTCATAGTCTTGGACTAGCAATTAAGGAAACAATCAAAAATTTAGACTTAGGTACAAAGTTTTTGTTGTATTATTAGTCATAATGGTTAAAAATTAGAAGCATCTTAAGAGCCTAATAATTCTTATCCATGCAAATCATTTAATAAAGTTTTGTTTTCAGAGTATTTACTGATATAGAAAAATGTTCATTAGATATCAAATGAAAAAGCAGATGCAAAACTGTATACACAGTGTAATCTCAATTACAATATAAATGTACACATACATACACATGAAAAATGACTGAAGGGAAATATGTCAGAGGTAAGAGTAGTTATCTCTAGATGGTAGTGGCAGGAAATTTTCCTTAATTCTTCTTTGTATTTTCCAAATTCCCTGCATTGAGGATGTCTTACATAACCACAAAAATACAAATGTTATTTATAAAGAACATATCACTATCAAGTGCGTTATTGCAACCATCTTTTTTTCTGCTTCGCATATTTTTGTTTTTTTCTTTATTTATAATTGTAATTTGCCTACCAACTTCCATTTCTCAATAAAAATTTGACATATATGCCTGCACGCCATCCTTTTTCTGTCTGGAGTTCACGATATTTTCCTAGAACAGTAGTCTGCAAAGCTCAAAGAGTAAACTTACAAGTTTTCTGTTAGTTTGGAGATACATTTCTGGCACGATTATCCTGTGTCATATAAAAGGATAATTGACTCTAATTCATTTTCACAGAAAATTTAGGCAATTTCTGGCTTTGCAGAAGCATGAACTTTCCCCTGTATTTTTATATACCAGTTATATTGTATAATTGCATTTGCATGAAATATATTTTACTACTACAATTCAGATTAAAATGATAATTGCTTTCAAAGGGAAATATAATATCTGAATTTTTTATTCTTTTAGGTTCTAGTTTGACTTTTGGTAACAATTAGCAGAGGCCAATATCAGTCTCCTCTTGTAGAAAATATAATTTTTATAGTATCCCAACCTAACATCATGTAAACATGCAAAAGAAAAAAACAGTTCAACCGGGTGTGTGTTCTTCACCTCAATTAAACTCACACAGTTGGATACCTACTGTTGCCAAAACAGTAATATAATTTATACATTATAGTCCACACAGTAAAACTACACTAAAAGTCATTTAACAATATTTATAACACCATAAAGTATAGTGTTAAAATATATGAACTGCAATATGTACCAAAATTATAAAATTTGTTTCTCATCATCAGTGATTAAAACCAGGATCATTGCTCTAGCCTCAATACTCACAACCCTGGTGACAGATTAGAATTCAAATCTTAATGATCAATTTACAATTAACAAGATAGAAGTGAAACAAATTAAACCAACCATTATATATAACGAGACCCCATGGACTCCCATTGTTCCTCTTAATTACAAAACGCAAATCACAAATACACAATGGGCAGTGTTAGACATCAGTCCACAAGCCTCACAACCCAGAAAGTGACAATGACAGAAAAGAAAGCAGCAAATCCACATAGACCCTGGTTCTACGCTCTATCCGGTTCTTTTCAATGTGCAAGTGGTGGAAGCTAAAACCTAGCACACACTTCTCTCCACTCTGTGGCTGGCAGAGGCTCACTCCTTGCCAGCACCCAATCCTTCCAAGCTCTCCCAGGCCAGGTGTTAGATAGCACTGCAAACCGCACTGCAACGTTTCACTGCTGATTCATCTAAGTGTGTGGGGCGAGAGAACGCTTCCTTCACTTTGATAAAGAAAAATCACAGTTGTACCAAAGCTATTTAAATAGCTCCGTGTACCTCCCTCAAAAAACAAGCCCATAACTGTAATAAGCTCTCAGAGTACTGGGGAATACAGAAGGAAGGAGAGCGAAAGTTTATGTGAGCTTCGACTAAAATCAGCCAGAATGTCTGCCTGGTTCCAATTAAAAGCAAAATGGAATTAATTCTCTTGCCTGATGGTCAAAAACAAGCTATATAAAATGCACAGAATCGGCAGTTCACTTTAAGTTTAAAATGGGACGTGCCATTCACAAATGCCAGGGTTACAGACACCACTACGTGCAGTGTGGAGTACACTCAGGGCGCAAACTACTGTGCTAATCACTATGGAGGCTTCCAGAAAACAGAAGCAGTCATCACTGCCACAATGCGACTTACGGTCTACTTGGGGAGAAAACACATACAACAGACCCACACACGGAGGTACCATTTCAAAACGTTTTCACAGAGCAACGGAGCAGCCTAGCATGAGGCTGGGGCAGAGCAAGGGCGTACGTGCCCACCGAGCCCGCGCGGCCAGCTTTCCGGTCATTCCGCGTGGGCTCCAGTCAAATGACTAGACCTGTTTTAAATGGTAGGAATCTGCTTGTTTAGTTGGTATTTTGAATAACATAAGACTCTTAGAGTAATGTTGCTAGTAACAGAGGAGGGAAAAATATGTCTTAATTATTGTTCAATACAAAATAAATACACTTACTTTCAAGAAAAATTTTACTGTAATACTCTGAGGAAAAGCTGGACCAAAATTACCATACAGATTGGATAAATATAAAGTTGGAGACTGAGTTTCCACAATGACAAAACTTTGGAAACTCCAAGATTTTCCTTACCTCAAAGCACAGGGAAAATTATTTAACCCAATAGTTTGGCATGGGGTATGCAGAGGCACACTCCTGGAGGGCTTCTTCAGGGTTTACTACATTAATAACTTGTATTTTAAAAGAAGCAGTTTGAGCCCTTCAAGTTTTGTAGGTGGTTTCAAAGCAGAAGGTATCATCAACATGGAATGTTAAATTTAACATGAATGAGTTATTGAAAATGTCAGAGTAGGAAGCCAGGGAGAAACGAAACCGGAACTAAAAGAAATTAAGAACAAACAATCCTAAAATCACAATTTGTCCTATTCACTACTCTCTTGTGAGGTGCACAAAATGCACTTTTCGTAAGTTTTAGGGGGCGCTTAAGAGTTTTAAAACTAGGAAGTAACAATTTATCAAGTGTTTGCTACTTGCCAGGCCTTGGTTGAGACAAATTGTAAAGTTAGAGTAGGTGCCTGTTTTAATTCATCAGAGTTACAAAATACAACTAGATCCACATTTTCCTGATCTGACTGTTTTAAAAAGGCTTTCACTGTGGCATAGACTTCTGTCCATCAGCAAATGACAGTCAGACTTTCCCCGGCAAAGACAACAGCTATGTCAAGTGATACCCAAATTCCAGTCAAGACCCTTAAAAATGCTATTGTGAAAACAACAGCAGCTAGTGTGTATTACAATGTGTCGGGCATTGTGCTAGGCACTTGATAACGTGTATGTACGTGTATCTACATATATAATTCCAATTCCCATAACAGTCCTGCAGCGTGGCTTTGGAAATGTTTTTACAGAAGGAGAAGCTGGGGTTTGGGGAGATGAGGCCATGCACCCAAGGTTACAAAGCTCCAAGTGGGAGAGTGAGATTCAAACCTAGTTCCTCTGAACTGCCACGTGTTCTTTACTGCACACTGCCAGTCATCCACAATGGAACAGACTGGCATCAAAAGTCAGATCAGGAGGTGCGAATAGCACCATACCTATTTGTTTCATTCATTCATCATTTATTCATTAAGTGCCACCTATGTGTCAGATATAAAAGAATACATCCAATTTACAAAGCAGTGTTCAGGAGCTGGAGGAATGAGAATCAGGAGAAGCAGTAGAGGTGCTGAGTTAGACCAGTACAGGCCAAGATGACAGATCTAGAGGAGGAAAAAGAGGGCCTAGGGGCAAAGAGTAAGTTAACTGTTACATGCCAAGGACGCTTACTTCTCTACGGAAATTTAAAGGTTAATTTTTCCTTCCCAAACTTTCTCATCATAACTACTATGACTTGAATTTTCTTTAGCAATAAATGTAAAATACTATAATTACTGTAAGAAAGAACACATACTTTGGAACCAGAAATATCTAGGTTAGAACCCTAGCTCTCCCACTCACCAGTTATTTAAACAGTTTTGGTTTCCTTATCTGGAAGATAATAATTTCTGTTTTAAGTTGTGGTGAGAATTAAATAATATATACCAAGCACCTTTTTGTCTCTTTTATATAATAAATTTCCCTAATTATGTTTCCTTGGAGAGCAAGATCAGTCATCATTCACAAACCAATTTTAGACCTAACACATTTATATAAAACCCAGATTAGTATCATTTTATCCCTAAATGATATAATCTAGTTTGTTTGCTTCTAACAAATTACTTTTGGACCTATGTGGTGCAAATCAAGTATTTCTGGTTAAGAATAGCTACTGTAGATATTTTATGGGTCTCTTTCATGACCAAATCATTTAGTTTTCATGGTCAAATCTCCTTGAAATATCTGGTATTTTGGCACCTAGGTTTTCCCCTACCAAAATACAATCTTAGTATATGCTAGGAAGGTGCGCATGTCAGAGTACATTCTTGGTGGTTACAGGAGCCTCTGCCTTCCTGTGAGCAGGGAGAGTTGGATGCACGAGCCCTCTGATTCCCCAAAAGATTCAGGGATGGGGGTTCTATCAGCTAAGACAGATTGTTGATGCAGGATCCCAAGATGGAGCTCAGAGTGATCAGATATGCCCTGATCCTCCCGGAAATCCTTTCCGAATGAAACATCTAGGTGAGCAGTTTGTTTGCTGAGACATATTTCCTGCTCTCAATAGATCTACGTAAGTTTCAGAAAAATACAGAAGAGAAGACACACAGGCTATTTTTTCATTATCATATAAAGTAACATTTGACATCGTATCAGTTATGTGAATATTGCCTTCTATAGTTCAATTTCAAGTGATTCTGTCCAATGTTATTCATTGACAAAAGAAGAAACTATAGTCCAAGTACGTCAAATACATTTGTCCAAGATGATTCAGTTACTGTCGGAGCTGAGATGAGGAGTCAGGCTTCTTGCAGTTTAGAATATAAAATAATTTATTCATTGAGATAATCTGACTAGAAAGTGTGTAGAAAAAAGTCATTAAGATTCCAATCAATGGATTTATAAAAGAGTAGTATGCCTATAAAATGAATGATGGCTGTTCTATTAAAATATAACAATTTTAGGGAAGGGAAGAATAGTTTTGGTGTGTTTATTTCAAAGTACCATCTACTTTCATTTTTATATATGCACATTTCATCTGTTATCATTTAACCTAAAGATAGCTTTTGTGTTCATGGTGAATTGTAACAATAGATTAAAATGTGTTAACCATACCAATGTAAGATTTTATAACTGCTTGATTTATCTGCATCTTTATGTTATTACCATATTTTCTTTCCTGAAATTTCAGTTTTCAATTCTAAACATTAAAACGTCAAATAATAGTACACACATCATCATGAAAAAACATAAAAGTGTATGGACAATTAAGAAAATGTCCATATGTAGAAAATATTTTCAAAGAAAACATCAGCAGATACTTAATTTTGACATTATAAAACAGTGTAAATGCTGTTTTTTAAGGAAAAATTAGAGTAATCACATAAACAGTGCTCTTGAAAGTATTCTATAACATCACCTACCTGGTTTTTTGAGAGATTTGTTCCAGTTTCTTGGCTAATGTACAGCATTCTTCCTTTAACTTTGTCAAAAATGTATTCTGGGAGGTCAGCAACAAATACTGTTCATTTTCTAGAAATAACAATAAACCCCCACCAACATAAGATGTTTATGGTTGTCGCTCTGCAGTGCTTCCATACACAGAGTGGTAAAGTGCTGAGACCCCTACACATTTCCAATAAGCCACTACATCACCTTCAATGTCCTAAGTCAAAGGACTTATCATCTGGAAAGACACTCAATCTTGGGAGTCGTTTATTTTCAACATAAGTATACACCAGAAACATGTTTTATCAGACCAGCTTGGTGTAACATTTTGACATGTTAATAAAGTGTCAGATACCTCAAGTGGAAGCATAGATACTTATATCTTTCTAATATGCAAGATATTAAATTTTAATTTTGACAATATTACTATAAACAGAGTGTCAAAAATTCTCACAACCAGATAATTCAAAACTAAAATCATCGAGGAATTCTCTTCTACACTGTAATTCATGCTTTGTTTCATATTTGCACACATGGTTTACTACCACCACCACCCCCCCAATCTTGCATACACTTCTCTAATTGTGAAGGTAAAAATGTGTATTTTCTTTAGAATTTCAATTTCATTGTCAACAGCATGAGCTTCAATGGAGATCTGGTCAAAGAAATTGAAAACGGTGTGATTTTGTGTGTGTGTACAAAAGGAAATGTTCTTAAGGTGGTTTTAACAGTTAAATACACTCTAATCTAGTGCTCAGATTCTGCCCAAGACTCTGATCACTAGGATCATGCTAGCAGTGGGGGCAAACAATAATTTATCCTCCAATTTCCTCTTTTTATTTTTAGTGGAGAAACATCTACTAAACCTGGTGAATTTTCGTTTCTTCTGGCCAAATGCTGTTAGAAGAAAATCTCTACTGAAAGTGCTAGAGGGAATTATGTGAGTCAGTATGACATTTGCCTCTTCATAAGTAAATAGATTATTTAAAGGCTTGCATGTTAGCAATTTTTCACCCATAGGATAAGAAATAATTTTTACCGTACCATCAAATACAATATATTAATACATTAAATCATATGAAAATTACCTCTGAGCATAAGTTTTAACAGTCCTTTATTTCTTTTCAATTTTAGCCAATGATTGGCAAAAAGCATACAGCATACAAATCAAAATAAATCAAGGGACTAAAATTAAGCAACATTTTTCTGGAAGAGACAGGATCAATTAAACTTTTGTTTTAATAGTACAATCAGTGTGGAGTATGTGGCGTGGAATTATAATGACTGACACTGTCTTGTTTTGACTAACACTGTCTGTGAACACACAACTCAAAAGTGAAAGAAACTACATAATGCTCTGACTGAACAAATCAAACTGTCTATTTTCAAAGTGCATTTTACTTTCAAATTAAAGGTAAAGAGTTACTGGCCAACTCAGTCTGCAGAATAGTGCCAATGTGATGAAAGATGGCAATTTTTAGCCAAGTTGCCAGCTGTGGTCAATGCCTTGTATTAGTGAATTTTAACAGCAGTTGTGAGAACTTGAAGAATGCAAAGGATTAAACATCACTCTAGATTGGGTTGGGGGAGGTGGGGAAATCATACAAATGCTAAAAATGTTCGAAGCTGCAAAGATTAAATAAAGGAACATATCAATTTGGAGCCACTGAATTACATCCAGCTGCGACAGTGAATTAAGAACCGATTAATGGCTAAAGCTTTTCTCCAGTTTGGATGCTGAAGCAAACTCATTAGGCTTTTAGAGTAGCTATAATGTGTGTACTGTGGGAACTGTTCAATGCTATTCAGGAGACTCTAACTGTAAGCTCAGAGCATTTCCCGCAGAGCTTCTGATGCTATTTTCTTTATATAACATGTGTGCCTGAAAACCCAGCCAAAAACAAGCCCTTTGTTTTTCTACTTTGTTGTGGTCTCTCTCAGCTTTACGTTTCTTGAACACAGGTAAATAAACTCATAATCCAGATGGTGCAACAGATGTGAGAGCAGCACTCTGAAATCAACAGACAGTGGGCAATACTTTCCATTTTCTCTTTTAAACGCTAACTAATATGTAATTCGGAATCTCCGGTGTAGTTAGCATCTGCTCCCTTCGGCCAGCCAAAGGTTACAGGTGTTCCTGATGTCATTTCACAGTAAGGCGTGGGCCTGGCTTGTGAGCGAGTGCCCAGGCTCTAATCTTTCCCTACCACCTACCAGTTTTGTCATGCTGGGCCTCCATTTGCTGTATCTTCTGTGTCAGCTCCTGCTCTCTTTGCTGGGCCTGAAGGGCTTGGGCCTTTGCTTCCTTGCTAAAGCTCTGCTGAATGCTATCTTTTTCCTGTCTGCAAAACAGAGAGGAGACATACAGAAATTTAATCTGCAGATGCACAAACCCCCATCATGTCCCGTATAGACCAGAGAGAGCTGATAGGTAGTAAATTGTTAAGCCTAAGAAGACAATGACCTTTCTATTGACCCTCCCCCACTTTAGAGGGAAAATCCAAACAACCTTCCATACAATGTTAAATACGTGTCATGAATGCAAATGGACTACAGTATGCAGTGTCAAAAAATCATAACAACTAAATAAGGGTACTTTGTAACTTTAAAACACAAACCTTTTTTCTCTAACATTCTTAATGTTTTACACTACCAATGAATCTTTCATCTTCTGAGTGGTCAATATTTCCTAGAGATACTGGAACTCTAGGAACAGCATGATTCGATCCTTAAACAAAACTTAAATTCTTAAAACTAAGCTTTGTAGACCACTTCTGTTTTCACTCGAAACTTAAAATGGAATCTTACACATAATGCAGGAGCCTCTATCTAGAGGCGAGGAAATGATTCTGCAGTGCCACATGCATGTTTTCACTAAATATCTTCACACATCAGGCCATATAATGTGAATATAAATACGAATATGAATATGAATAACTTCCCCCAGCACTTCATAAGAAAATCCCTCGTGGGTCACAGTGAAAGAAATTGCAGGATGAAAAGCTTCTGTAGTCAGACAACATCCCATCGTACTGTGATAGGACACTGACCTATCCCACTGGGTCAATAACCAAGCACAGTGGCTCCAAAGAGAGAAACTTCCTAAACAATTAGAATCTGGGGAATGCAAAGGACTTCAATGCTGGCAGCACCGTGGATACTGACAGTGTGTGTGTGCATGTACATGTCCCCCCCCCACCCCCCGCACACACACACGCACACACACACATATTAGGATGGTTCTTCAAACTCTAAATATGGGGTAAGTGATATGAGGGTTTCCTTCAATTAACTGACTTAGTTATTTCTAACTCCTGATCTCCTTGTGGGCATTTCTCATCCATGCTGCTTTAGTTTACTAATTGAGATATTTACTGCTTAGCCTTTGCCAAACTAAAAATAAACAATTCCATAAAGCTATCACTACTAGTCTATGTACCGCTGTGGAACTTCAATTCACTGGCTTCTAATTATAAAGCAACATAAGGAAAGCCTGTATTAAAATTGGTCAATGCATGTGGTAATGTTGTAGTGTAAAATTCTGGAATGAAAATACACCCACACCTCACTCAAATGGAATCATCGGGGGTCCATGCTAAATGTGAAATAAGGTCCTGTCTGGTACTTCTAATAACACCTCCTCCCCCCGGGATGTGGTCCACGGTCTTACGTCGCACTCAGTTCCAAACTAGTATATACAACAAATGGACAGTCAGACTAGGCTACGTTTTGCCTCCCCAGTCACACCATGTATTTTCTGGTCATGGATCCCTGCATATGTCTCTTCCTCTTCCCGGAAAGCTCCGCCACCTGCCCACTCAATCCCCCTGTAAGATGTATACATACCACTACCCCCTTCAGGCCTAGCTCAAAATTCTTCCCCTCTCCTTCCTCCCTCCTGAATTAACTATTCTTCCCGCAATGACCTCAATATATGTTGTGTACGATGTACAAAGATAGTATGTATCACACTTTAGTTACTGGTTTACATGCCTGCTTCCTCTGTCATCTTTGTCTCTATACCCTCGGCCCAGCTCAGTGCTTGGCACACAGAAAGTGGGCAGTGAGTATTTCAGGATTGGATGTTGTGATACTCTTGTCACAGGGGAAAGGAAGGCTGCTATCTTTATGTGTAGCTGGAGAATCTGCTTAAGTCTTACATGAGGAGGCAAAAACTTTTCAGACATGTTAGAAAAAGGTGCTTGGAAGAGAATGGTTCTAATGGCTCTGCCAGTTGGAGACCATGCTGCTAAAGTAATCAGCTTAAAGAAAGCCCTGTGGACTCTAACCATCCCCAGGTCAGACCCCCCGCTGGGGCAGGAGACAGAGCTAGAAACCTGAGGCTCTGCAACCCCTAACAATTGGGTGACATAAATGCATTCTCCAACACCAATACCCATCTGGGAGTGAGAGGGGCACTACTAATAATTATATGAGGATAACAGTCATAACTGAAACTACCCATCACAAACTGGTACTTACAGTTCCCCAGTGTAAAGGGGTTGTCAATCTCACCATCAGTTTTCAGAATGGGCTACCTAATTACCGATATTCTAAATTGACTATAGGCCAGGCGCGGTGGCTCACATCTGTGATCTCAGCATTCTGGGAGGCCGAGGCGGGTGGATCACTTAAGGCCAGGAGTTAGAGATCAACCTGGCCAACAGGGCAAAACCCTATCTCTACTAAAAATACAAAAATTAGCTGGGAGTGGTGGTGCACGCCTGTAATCCCAGCTACTTGGGAGGCTGAGGCCGTAGAATCACTTGAACCTGAGAGGTGCAGGATGCAGGGAGCAGAGATTGTGCCACTGTACTCCAGCCTGGGTGATAGAGTGAGATTCTGTCTCAAAATAAATAAATAAAAATAAAAAATAAATTGACTATAGAAAAGAACTGTCATAATTGCAATCCTTTTTATAAAATAAAACAAGTTAACACACTTCTACAAACAAATGTTGAGTTACACATCAACTGATGTTTCTTGAATCCTTCCCCAACTTTCCCTCTATTTGGGAAACTATACATTATGTTTCATTGCCTAGAAACATGATATAGTCTTGCTTTCCAACCTCCTTTCCCCTTCCACTTTCCTATGTTGCCTTCTCTCCCCTCTTGCAGGTTCTTTCTGACTTGGTAGGCTTTTTATAAATTCCCAGAATGTTAGAACTAAAAGGGAACCTCAAATGTGTTTCATCAAACCCTCTCAATTTACAGTTGAAAAAAAAAAAAACCTACTAAAAAATCCCCAAGGGTCACAAAGAATTTGAAGTCTGCTTATAGGTTGCACAGCGAATGATTTAAAGGCAGAGGTAGGATTAAAATATTTTTATCTAAGGAAACCTATTTTATAATACTCTGGAGCTCGGGTATGCAATCTTTTGGCTTCCCTGGGTCACACTGGGAGAATTGTCTTGGGCCACACATAAAATACACTGAAACTAACAGTAATGATTGCTGATGAGCTGAAAAAAAGAAAAGAAAAGAGCATCACACACACACAAAATCTCATAATGTTTTAAGAAAGTTTACAGTTTGTATGGGGCTTCATGTAAAGCTGTCCTGGGCCGCCAGCTGGACAGCTTACTCAGCTTGCGGCCTCGATGGTTTTGAATGCGGCCCAACACAAATTCATAAACTTCCTTAAAACATTATGAGATTTATGCACGGGCCTTTTTGTTTTTTTCCTTTTTAGCGCATCAGTTGCCATTAATGTTAATGTCTTTTATGTGTGGCCCACAATGCTTCCTCTTCCAGTGTGGCCCAGGAAAGCCAAAAGATTGGCCATACCTGCTCGAGAGGTAATACAATAATGGATTCAAAAAATTGTCAAAAGCACTTAGGCATTCAGGGAACGACTAGAGAAGAACGTAAATCAATGCATTAAAGATGTATCATACCTCTCTTATGTGAAAGGCACTCTGCTAGGCACCGGGTCAAACAAAGAAGACATGCTCCTTGCCCCTAGTAGGGAGTTCAACGTGGCCAAAGAGAAAGTAGATGGTAAAATACTTGGTAAGAAAGGTACAAGGGGGAAAATTTACCAAAGCATAACAAAATGCGAGTCAAATCCAGCTGGGTGTGAGAGCCTGGTGAAGGAGAGTCAAGCCAGTCTCTCCAATTGGTTTGCTTTAATTCCCACTCAAAACACTGAGTAAAAAAGAATTTCTTGTTAGTTATGGAGCTGAAATATTTATTCACAATCACTCAAAACCAGAAACAACTTAAATGTCCATCAACTGTTTAACGGATAAACTGTGGTATAGTCTTACCATGGCTAGGAGGAGTAGAAATAAAAAGGAACAATGCTACATACAGCACTTGGTTGAACCTCAAAAGTAGTACACGTAGTTTAAAAAGCCAGACACCAAAGACATATATTATGATGTCATTCACAGGCCATTCAAGACAGGTAAACACTAAGGGACAGAAAGTAGATCCATGTTGCCAGGATTTGGAAGTAGGAGAGGAGTACCAGGGAGCAAAAGGGCACAAGGACACGTTTTAGGTTGATACAAATGTTCTTCTACGTTATGACTATGATCTTTCCACAATTCTATATATTTGTCAAACCATCTTTACCTGCACAGTTAGAAATTGGTGATATTTTATTATACTTAAATTTACCCCAATAAAGCCGATTTTTAAAAGGAGCAAATCAGTGGCTCACACCTGTAATCCCAGCACTTTGGGAAGCTGAGGCAGGTGGATCACTTGAGCGTTGAGCCCAGGAGTTCAAGACAAGCCTGGGCACCTGGTGCAATCCCATCTCTACAAAAAAATGTACAAAAATTAGCCAAATGTGGTGTTGTGTGCCTGTAATGCCAGCTCTCAAGAAGCTGATACAGAAGGATCACTTGAGCCCAGGGAGGTCGAGGTTACAGTGAGCCATAACTGCACCACTGCACTCTAGCCTGGGTGACAGAGTGAGACCCTGTCTCAAAAAATTAATTAATTAATTAATTAATTAAAGGAGCAAATGATCTAGAGTAGGAACATCCACCTTTATTCTCCAAGTTATTCACATCACCTGCAATCCAGGCATGTGTGGGCCATGTCAATGTTTTCTTCATAAAAATTCAGAATTAAAAGGAGTGAACAAGGACTGGCTAGGCCTCAAATACAGACTACATATACATGGAGGCATAGTCACTCCTTTTTACCAATTATAGTTCTGGTTGATTGCATTTTCTGAAAATGGTCACAATGATATTTACCATCCCATTTTTTAGAAATGGGACTGAAGCATTAACCTTATATTTTTGACACTCAACTTTTCCATATCATTTATTATTTTAAATCTTGCAATTTAAAAAATGTTCATGTCACAGAGCAAAAATGAT